GGGGGCGGGACGAGCGGGGCGGAGGAGGGGCCCGCGCGAATCCGCGCTCTACGGGGCCCGGCCCTCCGCGCGGCGCGCATGCTCAGTTCGGAGCTTACGTCGCGGGAGCTGCGCTGGGCTCCTGGAGTTGCTAGGACGCTAAGGAGGAAACTGTGAGAGGGCAGGTCCCTGCTCGCGTGGCGCTTACATTCTCGTGGAACCGGACAGGCAATTAACCCACGAGCAAATGAAAAGGCTGCTCTCATGGCATTAGTGCTGTCAGGAAAACAAACACTAATGCAGCCCAGCCGGTGTGGCGAGTTCACCGGTTAGATTCCTGGTCAGGGCACAGGCCCGGGTTGCGCGCTCGATCCCCAGTAGGGGGCGTGAAGAGGCAGCCGATCAATGACTCATCCATATTTCTATCTCTGTGTCCCTCTTCCTTCCTCTTTCTCTAAAATAAATTAAAACATAATAATTAAAAAACAAAAAACAAAAAAAACACACTAATGCACTAGAAAGGGACCACGTGGAAACTATTTTAGATAAGGGGATTGGGGATGGCATCCCTGAGGGACTAATAATTGAGTTGAAACCTGAGAATATTTAGGCAGAGGGATAGCAAGAGCAAAGGCCCTGAGGCCGGAAACTGACTGGCACCTAGTGCTTTACAGACATTGATTTCATAAATGAATGCACTGATAAATTGATAAAGATCTTTTGCTGAGGGAAATCAGCTTATCTTCAGCTTCATCTGACTTTATGTCCCACTTAATACTCCATTATTTTTTTTAATATATCTTTATTGATTTCAGAGAGGGGAAAGGAGAGGGGGAGAGAGATAGAAACCAATGATGAGAGAGTCATTGATCAAGCCTGCAACTGGGCATGTGCCCTGACCGGGAATCAAACCCCAATCGCCTGGATCTCAGGTCGAGGCTCAACCGCTGAGCCATGCCCTGCCGGGCTCCAATTTTTTTTTTTTAACTGCTTGTTTGACCTGCATACATTGAGCTGTTCCTCTTGGTTCCTAACCTTTGCTTATGCTCTCCTCTCCGGGAATTTTTTTCCAAACACTTTTTCTCTTGCCTTATCCTAATTCAACCTATAATCAACTCAAATATCATCTCCTCTGAAAATCTTTCCTGAATACTCCTCCCTCTTCCACTATGACCCTCCTCTGCTCCTGTTCCTCCTGGGGTTTATACCTAATTTAGCACTTATCACTCTGATTGTCAGTTTACAGGTGTTTTTCTCAAAGACTTTGAGGTCTTTAAAGGCAGGAAGTAGGTCTTCTTTATTTTTGTCTCCCAAGACCTAACAGAACCTGGCACCCAACACGCACTTATGGAGTTTGTTGACAAAGACCTGATCTCTGCCCTCAGGAATCCAGTTGTAATTATTTGTGTAAATTCTTAACTCACCAGACTATGAACTTTCTGAGGATTGGGTGGCTGTTCCATCTAAATCTTCTCAGCCCAGCTCAGGCCCCATAAAAGAGGAAAGAATGAACACTTAATGTTGTGGAGAAACCAGATGACACACACACCACTGGCTATCTACTCAACAGCATCCATCTTTGCTTCCAGAGTCTAAATTTTGCCTGAGATTCTCCTAGCCCAGGAAATGATTCAAGATTTCTCTAAACTGTCAACGAAAGGCCACCACTGCCAATTTAACACAAAGGGGAACCCCCAGTTTGATGGATGGTAAAGGCGGAACTTAGTTCAGTGAAAACTGCTCAATTGTGAAGCAGCTCGGTGGTGAGGTAGGCTGGGTATAAGGCAGCTCTGCTATTACAGCTCTAGCCAAAGAAATGCAACATTCAGTAGAAACCAAAAGTGGGCCCCCAGAGACAGGGGGAAAGCTGGACTTATATAGAGAAGAGTGCTCACCCCCAGCCATTGATTGGCCTATTTCTATGCAAACAAGGACTCCAAATCCTTACTGTATGATTGACCCAAATAGAGACATCCTAATTGGTCAGAATGGAGCCACTTTGATTGGCCAATGAAGATCCAAATGAGGATATAGCCATGCAGTTCCTATTGATAAAATTTCCATCCCAGGAAAGGGTCAGCTCAGCTGGCAGGCACACAGGCAGTAGGCAGGCAGTTGAGCAGGCAGGCAGTTCAGCGGCTTTTCCCTGCAGCATGGCATGAGTGAGAGACCTCTGTTTAGCACCAGCTGCTGGGCTCTGTTTATAAATTTGAGCCCAATTAGCCACAAGGAGCCCTTCCTAACAAGCATATTCATTCTGGGGGGTGACATTATCAACAACAATATCATTCTCTTTTGCCAGTGATTGGTCAAGGGGTGAGAATGTGATCTGATCTCACCAATGAGGTAGGAGGATGTCTGCTGGGTACTCATGGGAAAGGTTTTTTTTCCCTGGAAAGAGAGGTACAGGACTTCAAAATAGCCTTTTTGGCTCTCTTACTACTTTGGGTAGTGTTGGGTTGAGGACATGATACCTGGAGGTGTGGTAGCCATTTTGTAAGCAATAAATACAAATAGGAAAAGCCAACATGTTGAGTAGGACAAAATTAACATTGTTGAGCTACTGAATCAACCCAGAATTAATAAACAACAAATACCATGGTGCCTTAAGTCACCACTTAGATGTTTGGGTGTGTTTTTTTCTAGTTGCTTGCAACTGAATATATTCTAAGTGGTATACCACACAAATACACTTGTGGCAAATTATATTTCCTGAAAATGGCCAAAACAATATTTCCACTCCTCCGTGCCCTTCCAGAACCTTGCCACTCCCCCACTGAGAGAATCTGTGTCTGCTCTCCTTGAAACTGGGTGGGCCTCTGGGGCCCCCTCAAGAGTGGAAAAGACATCATGTACCTTCCAAAGCTAATGTCTATCTTTCAAAAAAATCCTGGGAAGGAGACAAAGGAGGGATGTTTAACATTATGTATTGATAAACTGACATTTATTTTTGTTGTTGTTAATCTTCACCTGAGGATATTTTTTCCATTGATTTTTTTAAATTTTTTTTTTAGAGAGAGAGGAAGAGAGAGAAACATGGTTGTGAGAGAGACACATCAATTGGTTGCGTCCCACACGAGCCCTGACTGCGGCCAGGGAACAAACCTATAACCTAGGGACATGCCCTTGACCAGGAATCGAACCCTAACCCTCTGGTGCTCAGGCCGATGCTCTAACCACTGAGCAACACCAGCCAGGGCTTGGTGTTTTTAATGTTTATTGAGTACCTACTCATTTAGAGGGATGAGTATGTGGGCACAATGGGAGGTTAGATCCTTCAAGGAGGAAAAAACCCAGTGGGCAGCAGGGTCTAAACATAAGGTGAATAGTCAAGTAGTATAGGAAAACTGCTAGGGGACTTCAAAGGATTGAAAACTGACTTATTGCAGGAGGGACCTGTAATGGCTTTCTGAACTTTGTTGAAACTCCTTGATCTTTACTTCCTCAGGGATCCCACTGCAATTTGTACAGATTTGTGATAGAGCAAAGTGGCAAATGAAACATGAATTTTGTGGATCAGGACAGTCTTGGGTTAAAACCTTTGCTCTCACTAGCTGTGTATATGTGAGTCTCAGCTTCCTTACCTGTAAACTAAGGATAATTATTCTTACTTCATAGTGTTGTTTTAAGGATTAAGTGACAGCTAGGATTATAACTAGCACATAGCAGCTCCTCAGTAAATGTTTTCCTCCTGTGTCAGGGTAATGGCTCCATTATCCAACTTTTAGAATATGGGGTACCATATCTGGGTGGCCCTCAAGGGCATTTGTTCAGGTGTTAAGTTTCGTAGATGGCATAACTTTGGGAGAAGCAGGAAAATTAAAAACAGTGAAAAGCTGCCCTAGCTGTTTTGCTCAGTGGTTAGAGCATCAGCCCATGAACTGAAGGGTCCCAGGCTCGATTCTGGTCCATGGCACATACCTCAGTTGCAGGCTCCATCCCAGCCCTGGCTGGGGCTCATGCAGGAGGCAACCAATTGATGTGTCTGTCTCACATCCATGTCTCTCTCTCTCTCTCTCTCTCTCTCTCTCTCTCTCTGTCTCTTCCACTTTCTCTGAAAAGCAATGGAAAAAATGTCCTCGGGTGAGGATTAAAAAAGACTAAAACAAAACAATGAAAGGTTGCCCTAAGTTTTCTCCGTAACTATCCCCATGGAAATTGGGTGGCATCTGCCTTTTTCCTACCACTCACTGAAGACTTATCAATGGCAATAATTAAAACTGAGCTCAGACAGGAAAGGAAGGTCTCTGACTCATGTTCAGAGGGTACACATCAACGGCTGTCCAGTTTGGTGGTGCAGGCTCTAGAATCAGACTCACCTGACTTTAAAACCCTAAACCTACACTATTAGCTTTGCGACCTTCACCTCTGTGGCCTTATGAGAGTAATAAGGGTACTTACCTTATAGAGCCGATCAGAGCATTAAATGAGTTAACATTACTAAAGCACTGAGAACGTAGTAAGCACTGTGTCAAATAATACATAAAATTGAGGATAACGTTACCGGCTTGATACAATGATTAAAATGAGATAATATATGAAAGCAAGTACATAGCAAGAGCTAAGTAAACATTAGCTATTTTTATGCCTGCAAAGTGACACAATGGTGAAGCAGTTAAGAAAGAGGGTAGGACAATTTGCAGGTTCATGTTCTGGGACATGCAAGGACTGAGTATGCAGGGTCCAGCCTCCTTCCGGAACAAGAATTCAACCAAGTAAGAAAGCTAAAAACCCACCAGTACCTCCAGGAGCCCCTGGAGCAGAGCTCCCCATGAATACAGTGCAACTTGGCTTGTTAAGAATCTACAGTTCTTAAAAAGCCAGCGCTTCTCAAGAAGCCTCAGTATATCCTTCTGAGAAATGAGGGGTCGGGACCGAGGCCTGGGGAGCAACCGCGGTGGGCAAACAGCATTGCAACGAGACAAGGTCCTCGAGTCCCGAGCTTGGCTTGGGACGCTCGGAGTAGGAGCCTCCTTGACTCCAGTTCCGGGTCCCCGCCCCGGCGCACCACGTGACCCGGGCCCCGTCCTCGCGGCCCCGCCCAGCTCCCCTAGCCCCTCCCGGCTTCCGGAATGGGCGGAAAGCGGAAGTGTGGGAGGGCCTGCGGGGCGGGCTCTGGGAGGTCGGGGGCAGGATGGAGCAGTGAGCGGGTCTGGGCGGCTGCCGGCAGCGCCATGGAGACGGTGCAGCTGCGGAATCCGCCTCGCCGGTGAGGGGCCACTGGCTAAGAGGAGGGGGTTGGGGAGGGAAAGGCGGGAACTGGCGGAGGGGAGACACCCGTGTCCGAGCCCCTGGGGGGGAAGGGATCTGCGGGGCGGGGCGACCCGGCTGATAGGGCACCTGCTGAATCGGGGACCTCTGGCGGATGGGGCGTCCGGAGGGGAGCACGCAAGGAGGGGGATAATCGTAGGACTGGTTAGGGAGAGCACTTGCTGTGGGGGACGTTCTGGTGGGGGCAGGAGGGCAATGCTAAAGGGAGCGAGTGCTGAGGAACGCGGAGACAAGTTAGGGAGAGCACCTGCTAAGGGCGTGGGGGGTGTTACTGGGGGAAGGCTATCCTAGAAGGGACTCTCTGATAGAGGGGGAATGCTGAAGCAAGATGAGAGCCTATAAGGGGTCCGCCTGAGGGTGGATCCGGACAAGCAGAGAGGAAGGCTGGGTGAACTTTGTAAGGGAGGGAGTCTCACTTGAAGGGTGCAGTGGGGGGAGGATCTCATGAAGGGAACTCTTTGCTCCTAAGGCTGAAGGTGAACCGTGAAGGGGTAAAGGCCTAGCCAGGGAGGGCTTCGAGGAGATAGCATTTAGGAAGATGGTCTTGGTAGTGTCCTTACTCTAGCATGGCGATGGCATCTTTCATTCCCGATATCCAGTGTCTTATTCCCCTCACATCCTCCACAGCCCTTCAAAACCCAATGTTGGGAGTTAGATAAGGAAATAGAATATTTTCAAGATGGGCAAATTGAGGCCCATATTTGAGACACAGTCCTATGAGTTTCTTTCTTTGCTCTAGGTCTGGGTCACTGTGCCCTTTTAAGGCCTCTATTGTTTTGTGAGTATTAGCTCCAGATCCTATAGCTACCTGGAATTGTTTTAAGTCAAGATCAGCCTAGAAAGTCTTAAGCTCCTGAGCTGGTTGCAGTTGTATCATTGATTTGCTCTGTGGACACCAGGGTCTTATGTCACTCTGCTACATCTGGAGAAGAGCAAACAGTATAAATTGAGGGAGTCATGCTTCTCTGAGGTGCAGCATAGTTAGCTGCTGTTTCACAGAGACCTCTGACTTCCTGCAGCAGAATGAGCACTAAAGTAGGAAGTGTTCAGTGTGTAGGAGTGCGGGGCAATGGAGAGGTGAAGGGAAGGGATTGGCAGCCTGGGCTGCACACTTGGGGTTTGTTTTTGAAGTGCACAAACACTGCAGGAGGCAAATAGCTGGTGGGATGGACTCATAATTCACCCAGCTTTGGTGTGCTGAGACTGACATAATAATGATTATTACACTCATACAGCATTACTGAATGCCAGACACTGTTTTCAGTGCTTTCGTTGTCTCCTGTTGAACCATATGGAATTGCTGATATTTGACCATTTTTGACCTATAAAAATGGTAATTTCATATTATTCAATTTATTATTGACTCATTTGGTTCTCACAACAGTCCTACGAGGTGGCTATTTCTGTACCTCTATTTTACAGGTGATAAAACTGAGGCATAGAGAGGTTAGTGATTTGCTGGAGATTCCACAGTTAGTAAGTGGCAGAGCTGGGATTTTAATCCAGGCAGTGTGGTCCAGAGTCCATGCTCTTAGCTGCCTCACTCTGATGCCTCTCTGGAAGTACCCCTATTTCCCGGGGCCTTGTGTATATCAGCAAGGTTTTCTATAGCACCATAGTGATCCGTACATTGGTTACATTTTTTTCTGAAACATGTTGATTCTTTCTCTGAGGCTTTGGTTTAATCGAAAAGACGATTAGGCATCTGAGTTTTGTTTCCACGTTTGCCTTGAGTTGTGTAATCTTGGCAGTAGAGTAAACCTTTTTGTTTTTTGACATTCATTCCTGTGCCTTTTGAATTTTAGAAAATGTGTTACATGTGCAAGAGAAGAGCATTGCAGGACCGAATTTTAAAATGACTGATGCTTTCCTGCTCTCATAACTAGTGGACTGCCTAGTTTGCAGCAGGTTAACTTTATCATCATTTGTACTAGTTTGTTAGGACTGCCATGTCAGTTTCGCAGACTGGGTGACTTAGACAACAGGAATTTATTTTCTCACAGTTTTGAAGGCTGGAAGTCTGAGATCAAGGAGTCCTCAGGGTTGTTCCTTTTGATGCCTGTCTCCTTGGTTTGTAGGTGGCTGCCTCCTTCCTATGCCTTCACACCATCTTCCCTTTGAACCATCTGTGTCCTCCTCTCCTCTCATAAGGACACCAGTCATGTTGTATTAGGGCCCACTTATATGACCTACTTTTACCTTAATTACCTCTTTAAAGGCCCTGTCTCCAAATACAGTCCCATTCGGAGGGACTTCAACATGAATTTGAGGGGTCAGGGAACACATTAATTTTATTATCATTTTAAAAAGTCATCAATTTGTCTTATTTATTTGTCATAACCCACGTATCTCAAATACCATGTGGAGAGAGGCATGGGTATACAAAAATAAGATGAACTTTACTAGAGTTCTAAGATGAGAGAAAGAAATTTGAGATTTAGCCAAACCTGTGAGCAACTGCTTCATAAACATCCTTATTTGTGTTTGGAAAGGTATAAGTTATCTTTTCAAAGGTTCAGACAGTATGTGTTTCTAGCAAGGTATAGCAATCCCAATGCAGGAAATGCTCTGTGTTCATGAGTTTGACATTTGTGTGTCAAAAGTGAGTGATGATAGATTAAAGTTGATGGTTATGTGGGAGGTTGATAAGTGAGTTGCCATTAGATAAATAGTGTAGTGGAAGGTATAGAGTGCACTTCTGAGACGCTGGCCATGCAGGTGGCCACCTGACTTAGGAGAAGAGCATCTGTTGGCATTTGGTCCTTGGAGGCTGTGTTGGCCAGGCCTGTTCATTTATGAGCAAGCTGTGAAACTACCTAGGACCTGGGCAAGTCCCAGCTGAGAGAGCTGAATCATCAGAGTTGGGCTGTTATGTAGTGCTTCTTCCATGGAGACTCATGGTATAAAATATCATTAAGTCATTTATCAAAAGATATTCCATAACAATCCTATTTGTTGATAATCCAGTAATACTCCTTAGGGTGAAATTTTGTTTTGTTCTTGTTGTTAATCCTCATTGGAGGATATTTTTTCCATTGATTTTTAGAGAGTAGAAGGGAGAGGGGAAGAGGGAAGGAAGGAGGGAGGGAAACATTGATGTGAGAGAGACACATTGATTGGTTGTCTCCCGCATCTGCCCCGACGGGGGCTGAGGATCGAACCTGCAACCCTAGTGTATGCCCTTGACTGGGAATTGAATCCTCAACCCTTCAGTGGATGGGCTGACACTCTACCACTGAGCCACTCTGGCCAGGGCGTAAAATTCTGTTTTATTTTGAAAACTCACAAAGACTGATGATAAAGGTTTATGATTCCCATAATTACATTTGTTAATTCATTTAGCAAATGTTTATTGACCACCTCTGGGTTATTAGGCACCAGCGATATAAAGAACCCTTAAGCCAGAACCAAAAACAAACAAAAGAGCACTTAGATTGTTTTTAAAAAGTATCTGAGCAGTCATATAAAGTTTGACTTGTCAAAGTATTATCAGAGGCTTACAGCTGTCTCTCATGGCAGCAGCAGTTTCCTTTGTTATGCCGTGGTCTCCATGTAGTTGAAATAGTGAGTTTAGCTTTTTGTTAACCACAAAGTCAACACTTCAAGGAACACATTTGATCTTCCTTAATATAAACTGTTTATAGGATGTTCATTACACTTGAGGAATGAGGTATTGTCCATTGTTTATATAGTTATAAATTCAGTGCTTCCCAAAAAATCCCCTGACTTATTAGATGTCATTTTAACTTCTGAGTTCATAGGAATTTCACTTCTGCCCTGGCTGGTGTGGCTCAGTTGATTGAGTGTTGTCCCATGCACTGAAGGGTGGCAGGTTCAATCCCTGGTCAGGGTGCATACAGGAGGCAATCGATTGATGTTTTTCTCTCACATCAATGTCTCTCTCTCTAAAATCAATAAACATATTAAAAAAATTTTACTTCTGGAGTTTAAGAGGAGTTTCACTTCAGCCCTTTATGTTTGGAAGCTGGGAGTTTTTAATGATGTCATTGGAATTTAATTTTTAGGACCTTTTGTTTTTCAAAGGTCATCGTGGTCATTTTGTTATGTTAAATTTCAAGTTATGACAATTATTGACCTGGAGCAAAACTCCATTTCTCTAGTACATAGTCTTTGATATTTAGAAAATTCTATTAGATTGTTCTTTTGAGCTCAGTTTTTGTTGATAGATACACTTGATATGTTTAGAGTTTTTTTGTTGTCTTCTGGTTTTGCTATTTTCTCTAGGAAGTTACACGTGTGTGTGTGTATTTTTAAAATTCAAGTCTTTTTTTTTTGCAGGGGGTAAAAATTGGTATTGTTCAGCTAGTTTAGACCTTTTTCTTTACAAAGAAATCTCCAGTGTGACTACTTCCATATTTCACCATTTCCTGAGCTCTCCTTTCTTTGTTGTCTTTTGTAGTTTCAGGAAGTCATTGTGTAGAAGATATATATGCGCATACAAATATACCTTAGCAACCTCCTTTTTTAAGCCTGTTAATAATTTTCAGATGTCTCAGAGTTTAAAAATAATACTATTAACTTATAACCTCCCATGTATGCTATGGTTGTCTAGCATAGACAGAAAAATCTGAATTATCTGGAGGTTATAAGTAACCATATATCTTTGATTTTGGGAACTAGTCAGAGGTACATGGCTACTTGTGGGAAAGCCTTTGTGATACCTTTTGAAACTCTCAGCTGCCTAGTTATTTTTCACTTTTGATCATGTCTAAGCATATACTTTCCACTTCCTGTTCCTGTGATACCTGTAGAATCTGTGTTTCCACAAAATTGTCAACATTATCAGCAACTTGCTAATGGTGAGCAAGAGCCTTGTATGTCTTCCTTGGCCTCCAATCTAAGACCACATTTCATTTCATAGTTAACCTTACATTAACCTCTTTTCTTTCTTATTTTAAAAATGTGTTTTTATTGATTTTAGAGAGAGAGGAAGAGAGAGGGATAGAGGGATAGAATCATCGATCTGCTGCCTCCTGCATGCCCCTTACTGTGGATCAAGCCTGCAACTTGGGCATGTGCTCTGGCCGGGAATCTAGCCAGTGACCTCTTGGTTCATGGGTCAACGCTCAACCATTAAGCCACACCAGCCAGGCTAAACCTTTTTTCTGAAGAGATAGTTATACCATTTTAATTCATGGGCTCTTAAAATTTAAATGAATAAATGAATGAATTTTTTTATCATCACCCACAGATATTTTTTCCATTGGTTTTCAGAGAGTGGAAGGGAGGGGGTGGGGGAGAGAGAGAAAGAGAGAAACATCGATATGAGAGACACACATCAATTGGTTGCCTCCCACATGTGCGGGAACTGGGGGTGGGGATGGAACCTGTAGCCCAGGTACATGCCCTTAACCAGGAGTTGAACCCCAGACCCTTCGGTGCACAGGCCAGTGCTCTAACCACTGAGATATGCTGGCCAGGGCTAGAACTACTTTTATTGTTAGAAAATTCTTAAATGCCTGGCTGGATGTGGCTCAGTGGTTGAGCGTCAACCTAGGACCCAGGAGATCCTGGTTTGATTCCCAGTCAGGGTACATGCCCAGGTTGTGGGCTCGAGCCCCAGTTGGGGGTGTGCAGGAGGCAGCCGATCAAGGACTCTCTCATCATTGATGTTTCTATATCTCTCTCTCTCCCTCTCTCTGAAATCAATAAAGATATTTAAAAAAGGAAGGAAGGAAGGAAGGGAAAAAAAGAAAATTCTTACACCTGTTGGACTGAAGTTAGTCTCTTGGTAGCTCTCCATCATCTGGTCCTGATTTTGCTCATTGGGGTGACCCAGGACACATCCTCCATAGGACAGCCCTTCAGATTCCTTCAAAGTCTCTTAGTTTACCTTTGTTGTTGTTTACTAGTGAAGAGTTTGTAGAGAAGTTCCTAAGATGCTAATTTTAAAATAATGTATTTCGTGTTCTAGTTGCTAGCAAGTAAAATGTATTTTGTGTTTATATTTCTTCATTCACAGGCAGCTGAAAAAGTTGGATGAAGATAGTTTAACTAAACAACCAGAAGAAGTGTTTGATGTCTTAGAGAAACTTGGAGAAGGGTGAGTGTACAGAAAATATAGGTAGGCCAGTAGGTCTCAATCATTTTCTTCCCCCAACACCAGAAGAATATTAACCTTTCTTATGGCAATATTTTGCAAACCTAAAGAGAAGAAAAAGGAATGATGCATATTGGCACTGCTCTGGGTGGGGTTGGAGGTAAATTTACAACTTGAAATGCCCTTTCCCTCTTCCCCCCAGTCACTATTATAGACAGATTTAGTGACTCCTGGTCTTTTTAACACCACGGACATCTATTTGTTTTTTGTTTTGTTTTTTACTCTTGTAGAAACCATGGTTTGCATGATTTTATCTATTTGACAGCACTAATTAGTTTATACTTCATTTAACATTTTTTTATTAGACATTTTTATTTGTAGTTATTTTTATTATAGCTTCTGATTGATATTTAATAAGTTGTTTCATTAAAAAATGGAATTCAGCATTTTAGTTAGCCCAACATTGTGAAATATAGTAAATAAATCAAGGACGATTGCTAGTTTTATAGCTTCCTAAGAGATCCAAAATCCCAGGTTGGGAACCAGTGGATTTCCTTAAACACAGCTTTGTGAGTGAATTTGTAATGTACTGGTGACACGATATTTAACAATAGCCAGTGGCTATTATTAACTTTCATGATGCACAAAGGTTACAACATAATTTTTTATATTTTTACATATCCTTTTAATTCTTGTGTGTGTTTATTTATTCTCCTGTAATTACTGGGACACTAAAATATCAGGGATACCCTTTCTTAAGTTTTTATTGTTGTTAATTTTTGAATATTTAAAATTCAAAAAGCATAAAAGTGTATACAGTGAAAAAATCTGCCCCCTACCTCTATCTCTCAGCATCTAAGAAGCAACCAGTGTAACAGTTTTTTATGTATCCTTCAGAAATAGTCTGTGTATATAAGCAAATAAGTGTATGTGAATGTGGTTTTTTTTTAATTCTCTTGGGAGTACTGGTTCAAGACAAGACCAGAAGTATTAACTATAAAAAATGTCTGTTGTCTGTTTACTGTATGTTCTGACTTTAAATGTCTGTTGTCTAATTACCGTTTGCTCTTTAAAATCAAGTCTTATATGTCATTAGATTATTTTGGGGTTTAGTGTCATTTATGCCTTTATAGTTCAATAATCATGTTAAACCCCATCCTGGATTACATGGAATAGGTTTTTTCTTTGATTACCTCCTTGTAAAAGCATCAGTCATCCTTTTTTTGTATGTTGGAAAAAATAGTTTTTGGAATCAAGCATGAAATCCAGCAGAGAAGGGAAGTAAAAGATGACACCATCTGTGCTGCTTAAAGACAAGTGCAAGATGAATCTGAAGACTGCAAGTTGACTTGGCAGCATTGAAGATGTGGGAAAACAACAGTCGCCTGCATCTCCTGCCTGCCTCTTTCAGCTTTAGCTTGGCATCCTTGCTGTTTTCCTCAAGGAAATGAATCTAAGGTCCTTAATCTAGCAACGATCACAGGTTATGATTTGAATAAGATAAAGAGTGCTAGGCATACCTGACTATGTAACTGATTTGTTTCTTTCATTTTTTCATAGAAGTATGTTACAGTAGTAAGGGTATAGACTCTGAAGTCAGACAGACCTGTGTTAAAACATCTGCTCTATTGTGTATTAGTCATAATAAACGAGTGAGCTTCGGCAAATTGCTTAACATTTTGAAACTTCACAAGCCTCAGCTATAAAAAGGGAATATTAGTATCTCCCTCCTAGGGTTATGTAGAGTATATTACATGAGATAATGGGGATAAAGTACTTAATATAGTGCTTGTCACATAGTGAGTGCTCAGTAAGTGGCAACTATTATTTTATTTTTAACTGTATTAACTGAAGCATTTTTTCAGACCTTCTCATGTCAAATCAGTTAAATGTTAAGTCTTCACATATATTTAGGTGTTCTTGAAGGGAGCTCTGGGTTGATTGGGTTTGGGGAATGTCAAAAGAAAGCTATAGACAATATAATGTAAGGAAGAACTAAGCTAATTATGATTATTTTAAATTGTGTTTTAGATCTATGAATATCCTTATCTATGGAAACTTCCCTATAAAAATATTACCAGGGAGAAAACAAATAATGCTTCAAGTCTTTCTTCCCATGTTATTCTTCCACAAATGCTTGGATTCCTGTCATCATGGCCTGATCAAGCCTTATCCAAGTAGCAAAATCCTGAAAGAATATCTTAATTGCACTTACTTTCTCAGCACAAACTGCAATGCCATCCTTAAACTGTTCTGGAAAATGAATGGATTGCGAACTCTTACTGACTTGTGCCTTGTAAAATGAGCTCTGGCTAAGGACATTATTGGATTCTAGAGGCTGCAGTCAGTCTGCATTTTAAGGAAATTGTGTGGATCTGTGGACAGTAAAGCCAAAGCTCCAAACCAGGATGACTGGACAACACTTAGAAAGTGTTTTGAATTAGAGCCTAGTGCCTTTTCCCTATTTTATTTAACGGTTTACACATTGACTCATTTAGGTTTTTATCATAGAATGATAAAAACATCTTGCCCATGGTTTCAGAGCTAGTGAGTGGTAATGTTAAGATTTGTACCTAGTTAATTTGCCCTTAGATATTTCTGTTTTTCTACATTGACCCTTGCCTTGTATGGCTTATGGGAAACACCTACTTCCCCACATCTTTGCCAGTTAAAGTTCATTGAGCCATCAGAGTTTTCTTTGCTATCAAGATAGCATAGGGAAGCACAGAGCGTGTTCTGATGAACATTGCTGAGTTGAGTGTATGGAGAGACCTCTCCTTTCCATTGTAAATATATAAGAATAATGAGTGAAAATTAATTTTTTAAATATTAGGATACATAGCCAGTTGTGGACCAATGATAGGAAAGATATTTATAATAGTAAGAGAGGAGTAAAGCATGCCTGTCCTTGTCAGGAGATTGCAGGTGGGCTTCCTATATGAAGTTGTGGGCAGGGATGAGGCTCTGCGTCTGTCAACTAAAGCTGAAATAAAGTTGTCTGATCACCACTAAAAAGTATCATTTGCCTATGGTCTGGTGAGAAAGGGGAGATGCTGGTCTGATGGTAGGAAATGGGCCTGGAGTGCATTCAGGTGTGGTCTCTCGAGGGGCAAAGCCCCCAAACTTCTAATACAAAATCTGGATGACCGGGCTGAGGGAACTATGAAACCATCATGATGTCATGGAGTGCTCATGACAGTGAGCATTATATAGAAGAAAATAATTCAAGATAAAAGGAAACTCATACAAGCAAATCCACAGCCATGAGAGAATCACCAGACCTAACAAATGGGAGAATTCACACCTGAGGAAGTAGAAATAATGGAGCAGTCTGGAAAGAGATTTAACATATTTGTTTATGATTTTCAAAAAGATAAAAGAAGGGAATAACATCCTTAAAAGAATACCAGATTATTTACATGATTAGTCAGCTCCATGAATAACAAAAAATTGGGAATCTATAAGAAAACAACAACTATTGTAGTTCTAAAGGCCTAATAAATTGGATAAACAGTAAACTAGAGAAGCTGAAAAGAGAATTTGTGAATTGGAAGAGAGAAGTGAAACCAATCACAAAATGCAGGACAGAAATACAGTGTTAGAAAACAGGAAGACAGCATGGATTCAGGAGGTCCAATACAGGTCCAAGAGGAATTTTAGAACGACATATTAGAAGAGATAAAGAGGAAATAAAGAGATAATGTTGAGACTTCTCCAGACTTGAAGAAAGACATATGCCTTCAGATTGAAGAAGTTTATGAAATGCCAAATAAATTGACTGCTAGTTAAATTATAGTAAAATGGTAGAATATTAAGGATGAAGAGGAAATCTTAAAAGCTATGTAGAGAGAGATTACCTGTGAAAAATGATAATCTGATGATAGCTGACTTCTGAACAGCAATAGAACCTGGAAAATTGCAGTAAAAATGCTGAGGGAAAGCTATTGTCAAAGAAGAATTCTGTGTCCAGCAAAACTCATTCCAAAATGAAGGTGAAATAAAGGCATTTTCACACATATAGGAATTAGCGTATCAAGAATAACTTTGGATAAAAGTGACAGAATACCCAACTAACAGTGGTGAATCAATAAGGGCATTTAATAACTAATAAATCTGGAGGTGAAAGATTCCAGAATGGTTAATTGGCTTGAATAATGATTTGGCATTTGTGTAATTCTCATAGTTTCAAGATGACCACATTAGTTTCAAGCATCATGCCTCATATGACAGTAACCAAAGCAGGAAAGGAAGTAGCAAGTAAAAATGGGCCTTGTGTGCTTCTCTCTTACCTGGGAAGAAAGTCTTATCAGAAACCCTTCAGCAGAATTCCCCTCAAATTTCATTGTCCAGAACTAGATCATTGACTGAAGGAAATAAGATTGTTGTGGCTGGCTCGGACCACTGAGCTTTATCCCCTGGAACAAGGTGTTCCCCACCCCAACAAATCAGAGGATTACCTTAGCAAGGAAGAAGGGTCTTCTCCATGTGATCAATGGTTGCTTTACTCTTATAAAAAAAAGTTTCTGTAACATTTAAGAGTCACAATACTAGTTTTGTCGACATGAGGGATTCTGATGGAGTGGAAATTTTTTATGTGTTTTGCATAGATTTTTAAAAAGACGTTGAAATGATTCTTGAGTACAGTTTTGGCAGCTTAGAGCACTTAGCTACTTTGATATAGGTCACACTGTTATTTTGATCTTTTCTTATCAAGAGAATATGAAGAAGCAGGTGTATTTGGGAAACATGAAAGACAGTTTTCTCATTATTTCACTGACAACCATCAGAATTGCAGTGAAGATACAGTCTATTTAAAATGATGATGGCATGTCATTTGACCATCACAACTGTCTTGTAAAATAGTTTGTGTTTTCATTTTACAGATGAGAAAATTGAAGTACAACAGGGTTAAAACTATCTGTAAATTTGGTGGTAGGACTTAAATCCTAGGTCTTTAGATTCTAAATCTAATACTCTTGTAGCCTCCAAATATAATGAATACATATGCTTTTTCTTTATTTTGGTAATAATCCCTTAGAAGACGGAGTAAAAGGCAAAAAGAATATGTGCTCTGTTCACCTGATACTGGCTTTAAAGAGACTTAGATCTTTAATTCATTTCTGTAGTGCTTTAAGCTTTATTGCAAGTAAGAGGAGCAAGGAATGAAAGAGTTCTTGGTACTAGAGTGAACACAAGGAAACAAAGACTTCCACTTCTGTGACCCAGTATAGATGTGGAGTGAGCATAGGCTTTGCATTCAGTCACAACTGGATTCAAATTCTGGACACTTATCACTTACGTAACCTTGGCCAAGTCATGTATTCCCTCTAAGCCTTTTTACATTTACCTGTGAAAGAGATGATGACCCCTTCATTGTTGTTTGTAAGGATGAACTGAGATGATGCACAGCTTCTGGCAGACATCAGGCATTCAGTGGAGCTACTATAATAATTACTTCATGCTAACACATTTAGTAAAATTTAAGTGTCAAGTTTTTAAGAGG